ATGGAGGTTTGGCTTTGCCTGATGTTTTTACCTTACACTCATTAAAGTCCCTTTAAAGATATCTCGTACTGCTCAGTTGTTTAGAAGTCTGCTGCTTAACCAAGCATGGTATATCACAATGGGCACATTTTTGACAAGAATTATTCATAGATTAAATTCATTATTATGTAGATTACAGGGTAAGCTCTGCATTGTTTTGAAATTCAAATTGTTTTTGTTACATTTTAATAAATTAGATGTTTATCTGAACTAAAATTTAGTGGCATGTCTAGTACTATGATAAGGCATCCTTTTTTATAACAGTATACGACAGCCCTTCCTTCTTCTGTGTGATGGGTACAAATGCATGTAAAAAACTACCACACTTCTTAAAATGAACTATTTTTCCTTCTTTAAATCAACTGAAACCAGGCATTGGTGGATTTTAAGGAATTATTCTGAAAGGATTTTTAAAAATATTTTACTCTGTTATTTACTTTGTCATTTAGGGTGTCATTTTCAATAGATAGTGCTTTCTCCCAACTTTCTAATTAGTTCATTTTGAAAAAATCTGTCATTTGTAAACTTAATGTCACAAGGTGAGTTACATTGTTTAAGTTTCATTGGAACTGCCCTTTATCTGTATTTATGGGTCTGCTATGATTTTTTAGCTAAATCTTTTTTGCACTTGGAAGCGTGAACCTTGGTGCGAAAACAATGGGTTGAAAAGGGGCAACTTGGCAACAATGTTGTCCTTAATAGAGATCTTAGAGCTATATACTACAGTTGATAAAACAAAGCACATTAACTTTAAGAACATTTGAAAGATTTGCCTCTTGAACATGAAACTGCCTTTACAAATTTTTTCATTTGAAAATTGGATCAGATTATGATTTTTAAAAAGCCAGCCATTTGACAAGAAATGAAAAAATACAGAAAACAGCTTGTGCCTCTTATTTCACAAATGCATTTTTTTTTTTTTTTTTTTTGGTTTATTGTTGTTTTATGCATGTGTGTGCCTTCCATGTATTTGGCTGTTACATGTTTATACAAATGGCAATATGACACAAATTGAGGAAACCTAAATGTCTCTGATATTCTCACAGATAGCACAGTAGCCAGGTGTAACAACAGAAAAAAGTCATAACCAATTTAATGCCTTCACACCCTCTTACTCTTGGTATTCTGAGCGCGCAAATGGCCTGGGTGTCTTTAAACCTGTAAAGAGCTAATGGCTGAAAACAGTGGAAAAACACAATGAAATTAACCATTAGCCTTGGCTTTATCACCAACTCACAAAGTTAATTTTCAACAAAAGCTATTATTATCTCCCTTCATTATGCTAATTGAATGGGGTAGGCATGAAAACTGTTACAGGTATTTTTATCGTTTGAATTTATTGCTGTCTGCTGCATTTTACAGACTGAGCACTGCTTTATTGTATTGTTATCCTGAATGTTTGTGCCTGTAGAACAGACACTTTGATGGTTTCTTAATTGCTCTCTTTAACACCTCTTTTATCTTAATACCAGGGAAGCCCTGAGCTCAGACAATTCAATGGACAGGAAGGAAAATCATCTCAAAAATTAATTGAAAATTTCTTCTGTACTTGCTGATTTACAAAATATTTCAAACTTGAATTGAAGAACATTTTTTATGGTAATTGCATCCAGGTTAACTCTGCACAGTGCAAAAAATTGTTGCTTATGTTGTTATTTGACTTGCTTTGATTAGCTCTACACAAGTTTAGTCAGCAAGTTTGAAGCAATTTTTAAATAATTGATACATTATCATAATTGTTACACTATTATAATATAACCAATTATAAATCAAATATGAGAGTAAAATGAAGTGAAAAGTAACTTCCTACCTGTCTGCAATTGTCTTCAAAATTTGGCATTGTGGTGACTTCATACACAACAACAAAAATTTATAGTTGATAAATTATTCCGATTCCAAAGAAGGATTGTGGCCAGGCATGTGCATATTTCATTCATTGTGTTGGGAGTTGGCTTTAGCTTAGAGCTGACCAAAACAATGACTTGCAATTTGAGTATTGTGTGGCAGCCAGGTTTCAGCCCTGCAGCTGTTGCAGCAATCCTTGTGTCGCCGTTGTCTTTTGCTGTCAGGTATGTGACCATCAAAAGAATTACATTTTTGAGTCAAGTGCCTCTTTCATCTAAATAGAATAACTTTTGGATTATTATTAATTTATTACAGCTTCTGACAAAATTTGCATATACCCGATAGTTTTTAATTTCCTTCAGGTCAGTTTTTCCCCTTTTCTCTTTCTTTTTTTTTTTGTCAGTAATTTTTAAAAATATAATCTATATGATAAGATAGTAGTGAGTTGCAGTATGATCTGTCAGATGTGGTAGCCCCATATTGTCACAGTGATCCCGCCACGCGACTTTGCTGCAAACTATGTTGTCAGGCACATAGTTTGTGCGAACATGTTCAGGTTGTTAACTAAGGCTGATCGGATAAGAGAAAGACCCATGGCAAAATACCTTGACAGGCATGTCCACTATAGTATGATGAGTTAAACTGAGAAGTTATGCTGTGAAGGATTTAATGAAGGACCATGACCTTTGATCTCATTTGAATAATAATATCTAATTTTCATCTTTTTTTACTGCTTTTGATATAATAAAATAAACAGAAGGGTATCATTATAGCAAGCACCTGTGGTCATATCTCTATCCTATTATCACTCTGGGAGATCTAAAGACACTCACTACAGAAATATGTGCTACACCTGAATTTCCTTCAATACAAACCTAGGAGGTCTGGTTTCAAAGGGATTTTTTCTCTTGTATCTCGGTAACCTGCAATTGTCAGGTGCCCATGGATAGCAGCCATTGTTGTAACATGTCATAAGTGAGGAGTGCTGTTAGCAAACATGGAGACAGTGAGGAGAGAGGCGTACCAACCAGTACGAACATGCACACCCCAGGCGTAAGACTTGATGTGAAGGCCTGGAGCTTGCCAAGATATTACTTATGTTCTTAACACACTTCTTTGTGATTATGGCTATTTTTCTCTATGCCATTTTATCAGTGATTTTTTCTCTTAATATTTTTTTTCTTTTATTTTCATTTTTGTTTTGTTTCTTTTTATTTTGCATATTTGTCCATTTTTTCTTTCTCTTTTAAAATCCCAGTTAAAATGCAGCAATACTTACACTATTTATGTAAAAATGATTTTATGGTTTGATTGTAATAGAATTTGATATTTTAGTTGTCAACAATTCAAGAAATTCTATATAAGAGTCTCTTCCAAAGATCAAATTTAAAAATAGCATTCACTGAAAATACTCTAGCAGAAATATTTTTGACAAAAACTGTTTTCTTCCTTTTAGGGTGTTAAACTTATGTCTTGACATTTACTGATTCATTTCTTTGCTTTGTTAGCTATTATATCAGTGACTTCTGACTGAGAAATATAGGAAGCCTGAAGCTTAACTTCATTGTTATAAAATTTTATCTCTGTCCTGAATGGCAAAACGTACCATTTGAACAACCCATTCACAGATATTGTAAGTTTATGTGTATATTGTTATCACTGGATCTCTTATGCTGTTGCTGTCATTGTCAGATAAAGTATCCATTGTTCCATAAATCCCAAACTGTGTTTCTGAGATGTTTGTGGCATTTACTGTTAGGTTATGTACAGTAAAATAAAATGTAGGTCATGTTTAAAAATTAACATTACAATAATTAGTCTAAGAGTATTTTACAAGGGTATTGGCGTATCATTCACCCCTGAATTGCCTACCATCTAATTGTTTTAGTTGAAATCTTTTTGGAGATTTAATATGGCTGAAATACAGATCAAGTCTTTAACTTTTTATTTCTTGCTGTTCCACACTCGATAGCTTGTCATTAAATTTGAGCGCACTTTCCTCTAAATACTGGGAAATCTTACTGTTCAAAAGTGCACCTAATAAATAAAATACAAAAACAGCCTATTCATTTTGAATGGACTCTGAGGAAAATACATGTATTCTTCATCATTGTTTTTTATAGAGAAAAAATGAGCAATGATTGATATATATTCAGAGAATACAAAAACATGAACAAGGTGTTTCTGTCACCACCTATGACAATCTGATGGTACCAGACAGATACACCACCAACAATGAGCACTCAGAGAAATCTGCCATAGTTTGCAAGAAAAATCCATAAGTGCCTTTATGTCTCTGATCTGAAATAAGATGGCTGCACCACACAATAAACATAACCCACACGAAATAATAGGCCATCACATGTAACTGATGTGTTTAAGGTTGTTTTGTGTTATGTAGGGTAGAGTTCTTTTTCTTTGACTTAGATATTATTTATTGTTAAGTTTTCAGCCAAAAGGATCCATGGGAAAAATAGATATACATGTATTATATGTATTTAGTATTACAAATATTACTATTAATTTTTTATTTTTATCTAGAACTAGAGGGAAGTGCCTATTTGTTTGGTCTTTCTATCACATCAATATTCTGTTAAATATTTACTTTCAACATCAAATGAGAAATCTTTAACCAAGTTAGTTCTGATCTTTTATCTCTATCTTTAATTTTCTCAACTCTCAGTTGATGATAGAGAGCTCTCAATTTATAACATTTGCTTTGCTTGCTCTCTTCAGCTAGATTTTCTTTGACTATAGACCACCAAGCACTTTTTTTCCTGCTGATGATACCTGGTATAATTTGAGTAGGGAAGGAGTTTTAATCATATTATGCCTTCTTTACACATGACTTGAATAGGGAAATAATATCATGGTGAAGTAATGTTTCCAGTTTTCTTATAAGAGTAATGTATTGAATTTTGAAGATATAATGTGTGTAAATAGAATAGTGAACCATACATGTAAAATGCAGCTCTGTAAGTACTGTATTCTCTTCTTATCACAATATTGGGATTATTCTATATATTTAGACATGGTGTGGAACTGAAATAGTTATATTTCTATCTTTATATCATTGTTTTCATAAAGATAATGCTTGCATATGCATCCCTTTTCAGCTGTTTGAAGGAATGAAAGCCTTCAGAGGAGTAGATGGCAAAATAAGATTATTCAGACCTGAAGAAAATATGAAAAGAATGAACAACTCTGCCACAAGATGCTGCCTGCCAGTGAGTTCATTATCATTTCAGATAGGTCTTTTTTGAAAAAATTAATAAATTATTGTAGACTGCATATCATGCTTTGCTGCCAGCTGAGGTTAGATCAAAAATTAAAAAGACACCATGTCCAAAAGCTAGTTGACTTTGTTAGAGTTCACTTTAAGGCCTGTTTAGTCAGTTTGTCTATGGATGCATATCCATGGCACGTATGGATACATATCCATGGTACGTATGTCAGGGCTGCCTCGGCAGGATATGATTGTATTATTTTACAGTGGGAAAGTGGTGCCCATGCTACAACCACTCTGCAATCACAATGTCCTTGTCCAGTGTGATGCATGGTGGAGCAAGGCTGGTGACATTATTATTGGCCTCTTTACCCCCTGCTTCAATCTCTTAATGCTGAATGCTAAGTGAGGACATAGCAGGTACCATTTTTATGATGGTCTTTGGTATGAACTAATCTTGGATCAAACCATTGACATTCAGCTCTAGAGGAGAGGCCTTGTCCACTTGAATCTCCCAATATGGTTATGCTCACCTAAGATAGAGAGATGCAATATAGAAAGAAAAAATTGCTAAAATTTGTTAAAAGGTGAAAGCACTGTTGGGTATTGGTCATTTATTATCTTTCTCTAGGAATATATTCTTAAGCCATGAAATACAAGTGAAAATGGAGTGAAAAAGACTGTGGTGAAGAAGTGAAAGTGACTGTCAAATTGCCATCATATTTTTTTTTAAAGATACTGCTCTTTTTCATTGAAAGTCCAAGACAAAATCAGTATCAGTATTTATTATTAGTAATTAGAAAGAGATCTGCATTGACATATATGTAACAAATACTTTATATCTCTAGAATTTTGATGGCCTAGAGCTGCTGAAGTGTATCAAGAAACTAATCAGGGTGGAAAAGGATTGGGTGCCACACTCAACCTCCAGCAGCCTGTATATTAGGCCTACCTTCATAGGAACTGAAGTAAGTGGAATGTGTAGGCTTAATTGAAATATATCAGGCCTTCCTTCATAGGAACTAAAGTATCTTGAACATGTTGGGCTTACATGCAAAGGAACTCAAGTCAGGTAAATGTCTCAGGCCTTTCTACAAAGGAACTGAGGTAACTCACCAGTGGAATGTGTCAGGCCACCCTTTTTGGAAAAAAAGAAGAAAGATTTGTAAAGGACATGGAATCACTTGTTCAAAAACCACATGCTCAGTTGTCTTAAGTTGTACAGACTGTGAAGTAAGAAGTGTCCATCACTTCATCATCTGGTTTTGCACACTCAATATAATCAATGTGTCTTTATCAGGAGATTTGGTTTTTCTCTCTTACTGAAGTGGGAGAAGAACCAAGTCCTGTAGAGATACTGCAGAATATACACATTGAAAGATGTTTTCAAAATTTATCTTCATGGAAAAATAGTTGCCACATCTTTCCCCCATTCTTGGCATCCTGGATCTCTTTGTTGAATTAATCTCAAGCAAAATAAGATTGAAATTAATTCCTCTGATGCCATATTGTAATTATTTTTCAGCCTACTCTAGGTGTGACTGTTTCTAACCAGGCTCTCTTGTATGTCTTGGTGGGTCCAGTAGGTCCGTACTACCCAACAGGAATGAAGCCAGTCACATTACTTGCTGACCCCACCTATGTAAGGGCATGGCCAGGTGGAGCAGGAGCTTCCAAACTGGGCAGGTACAGAATAAAAGTTGATAATTTTTTTCATTATGCCACACTGATTAAATTTTATGAATGACATCCGTATATTCATAAATTTTCACCTGTTCTAAAAAAAATCACCTACTCGGAACTCTGGAACTGACTGCTATCACCACTCAAAATGCTGAAAAAGCCTGGGTTGTCACAAAACTCCTTTATCTTTGGTAGCAAAACCTACAGAATTTGTCATAAAATTTACTTCCTGCATATGCCTATTGCTGCCTAAAGCAGGTGCAAAAATTGGTGGGTGGGTGCATCATGGGCATCAAAATGCGTGCATAAGCATAAAAGTTCACAAGAAGACGGAGGGGGTGATTATTGATTGGTATGCAGTTGACATTGGTAATTTTATATTGGGTAGTTAATCAGTGGCTGTAGTCGTTGATTTGGACATTTGTGCTCACAAATATGAGGTTTATATTAGAATACACCTAATTTGTTCATAAGCCCTGAAATGAGAGCTGACTCTTTAGTATTCTCAGTAGTTTGTATGGTACAAAGTATGGGATGAAGAAGTTGAGAGCCAAATCTCTGGTATTTTCAGTTGTTTGTTCAATATACAGATGAAGCAGATAAGAGCTGTTTCTTTAATATTCTCAGTGCAAAGAAAGACTTTTTGTTTGATACACTGATATAAAGCAGATGACTTCTGACTCTTCAGTTTCTTTAGTGCAAATAAAGACGTGTTGTCTGTATGGTTCACTGTGTTCCGTGGTGCAATTTTTGCTTCCAGCTGTGTATTCCTTTACTTAACCACCTCCCCCCCCCCCAGCATTTATTTTTGGGTTTCCAGAATATGTCATCCATAAAATTTAATCAGTGTGGCCTTTTATAATGATTATTTATCTGGACAAACACTATGTGACTAGATTTATAGCAATTATTTTGTGCACTTTCATTGTTAAATGGGTTCTTCATCATTTTTAAACTGTCACCGTTTCTGTCAGTTTGTCAATTATATATATGTCCAGTAGACAGCTTTTCTACATTTTTTTTTTTTTTTTTTAAAATTTTTTCAATGTGGTATGCAAAAAAGCAGTGTTGAGATAGCTTAAAATCAACATTTTCAATGGATAGGGTTACTCTAAAATAATAAAATTCTAAAATTATAATTGTCAGTCAATGTAAGATATAGTATTAAGTTATACCAACTTGGATTACAATACATATTTGCTTTGTTTTTAATTGCCCTTGAATGATGTATGCAACTTAAAGTTTCATATCTCAGTGCGACTTTTTAGTACCATTAATCAGATGTAAATTACACAAATAACTAATTTACCTGATGAAATTTTTTCCACTCATTCCTAGCAACTATGGTCCCACCATTAGCATCCAGAATATGGCTGCCCAGCATGGGTGCCAGCAGGTACTCTGGTTGTTTGGAGAAGAACAGAACCTTACAGAAGTGGGGACCATGAATATATTTGTGTACTTGGTCAATGAACAAGGAGGTATGAGGCTGAAGCAATAACCTTATGCTTGTGTTAACTTATTGTTGTACTAAGATGTTTGAAGAAGTATAAGATATATTGTGTTTGTTGTAATATATTTTTTCTCATATTAATCTGGTCACATTTTACATGGTAGTGTTGAATTTGGTATAAGTTGTATTTTTAGGGGCTCTTTTTCAAGATAGAAATACATTAATGTTCTTAGTGTTTTCAAAGCTTTTTGAAGACCTTTGTCTCTGTAGCCGTTGTAACCTTTGTTGGTACTATAACATATCGTTTCATTTTTTTCTTCAGAAAAGGAATTGGTTACTCCTGCTCTCAAAGATAATTTGATATTGCCTGGTGTGACCAGAAAAAGTCTGCTGGAACTGGCTTATGCATGGGTAAACATATTTTACATCTGTGTCCTTTTAATTTGGAAAACTGTTTGCCTTTTTTAAAAATCAATAAAACACAATACTTTTAAACACAATACTTTTCTGATTTTGATGTTGTTTTTGTTGCATTTAGGGTCAGTTTAAAGTGTCAGAAAGGAGGATAAACATGGGAGAGTTGACCAAAGCTCTGGCAGAGAAAAGGGTGAGTATATATTTTACCACCAAAGCTAATGCAAAGAGGAGAATGAGTATATAATTAACTAAGTATTGATAGAGAAAGGAGTCGGTATATGAATGACTAATGCTTTGGCAGAGAAGAGTAAATATGTAGTTGATCAAATGAAGCCCTGGCAGAAAGAAGAAATAGTTGTTTGCCCAAGCTTGATAATAACTTTGTATGTCAGATATCCTAAATGTGTCCCAGTCTGCTACTGTAGTTCAGAAAAACAGGAGCGTGAATAGTCTTGTTGATTTACAAAGTTTCATATTAAATTTGATGACAAGAATAAAAATGTGTCAAAACCTCTTATACAGGAGGTTACAAATAGGACAAAAGAAAAACTGCAAGTTAAGGCCTCTCTAATTGTAAATTTATTAAACTATAGGTATTAGAAATATTTGGAGCAGGCACAGCATGTGTGGTCTGCCCCGTGGAGAAGATACTTTACCAAGGAGAATTTCTCCAAGTGCCCACCATGGAGCAGGAAGACTCTCTAAATGGCAAATTCTTCCAAGTGCTCACTGACATGCAGGTAACAACACTGATATGATAATGATATGAGGTACACAATGTGTAAATCCAGATTCTATGTGCTGCACCCCTGATGATCTTAACTATATAGAAAAGTACAGACTGAAGGAGTTAAACTAAGCTTATTAAGTGTAAATGTGTAAAGTTCATATTAAGTACTTTTTTTCAATCTTGGAATGGTCTTTGTGACACATGTTCTTGTAATATACAATTTTTTTCTTAATTTCCCTTTTTATTACCAAGGCAGGGAAATCCAGAATATCCCATTAATCCTTCTATTAATTGGATTCTAGTTGAATTATGTGTTACATGTACAAATAAGGACTTTGTTTTTCTTTAAATAAAAGAAATAAATGATTGTTTAATAAAAACCCTACTTTGTCATAATTGTTGTGTAAAATGATTTTTTTCAGTATGGTCGCCAGCCCAGTGATTGGATGGTAGATGTTGACTAGAGGATAACAAGGAACATGTCACAGGTTTTATAGGTTTTACAAGCTGGCAGCTAATAGCTTATACTTTAGAAGGGAATATGATCATATTGGGGTGATAATGGAGCTACAAATTATGGTTAACATGTAACTAATCACACTCATGAAGGCATTTTTCACAAGGCCAATTCTACATACATTTCCACTATAATGTTTTATTTGACTCCAGTATGAATAAGAATCTCTGCAAAACGTACAAAGAAGGTTAAGGATTTCACCATTTTTTAACATTCTCATCATAATTGTTCTCATAGTGCGCACATCGAATAATCATGTTCCATTAGTTCTTTATGGCACAAAAATGAATCAATATGGCATTATGATAGAAGTTTGATTTCTGATATTACCATTATAACAGATTACAAGGTTATATTTTACAGCAGTATTTATTACAGATATGTATTGTTATAGCACAGGCAGCTATCAGAATCTCATCTTTGCATTTTAGCAGAAGTACATGTAGCTTGAAGTAGCTTTTGTCTTATCAGCTTTGGCAACATAATTTCAGTCAATATAAAAATAAAACTAGTGCATTTTAACACTGTTAGTCATCTTTTTGTATGTTCATGCTGAGCATTGATACTGTTTACAGAGTACCAAGTAAGCAGTATGCTGTGCTTCTACAATTTCTGATCAAGTCACAGACTTGGCAATAAAAATGCTAAGGTTACAAAATGTTCGCAAAGGTGATACGTTCATGTTTCATTGTAACAGAGACAGCTTGTTACTGTGTTTTGTGTGGGTTATCACATTTCCATATTTATTTATATATGCATACTGATATTATGTATGCCCATACTTCTTGGCCCAATACTTATTTTTCATTAATTTTTTTGTTTTTTGGTTAAATGCTCTCCATGACTTTCCTTTCTGAGAGATGAAAGTAATGCATTAACTTTAAAATATTGACTTAGATATACCAGTGAAGATGGTTATTAACAGTGAAAGCATTGCACAGATGTTAGGATAAAAGCAATATATATATATATATATATATATATATATATATATATATATATTGACCAAGAATGATTTTTGTGTGTTATAGTCAAACATGATGCTCAACTTCATCATTGTGGCAGCTCACTTTATCAGTACAGATTAGTTATCTACATATCAGATAAAGTTTTTGTTTGTGTTACAAAAATCTCATTTTGTTTGCTGTAGTTAGGTTTTGTTCTATATTTTTATGTATTGCTATTTTATGACTACATGTGTAGATATGATGATATTATTTTTATGCTTTTGCATTAGAAAAACACAAGGTTTTTATTTCTGGGGCACAGAAAAAAGTAATGTCATATATTCCAGTAATTTTATCGCTTTGTGATTGAAAAATATAAATGAGGTCTTTTACTGCAAACATGTCAGTTAGTGAACACACTTTGTTGAGTATTGTATCTGGACAGGAGCCCCTTCCCAACATTTCTAGCCACACACGCAGAGCCATTTGACATGTCCATTAAGAATTTTTATTTATTCATCAAAACCACTCTCAAGTTTGATGTTTCAAAACATGGAACTTGAAAAAAAACTAGTTCGATGGCAACATGGATAAAATACTACAGAGTTTGGAGGAAAGGGAAGAAGGGCAACTGTCATGATGACTAATTCATTTTAACAACAAGCTCAAGAGATACAATATCTGGTTTCATAGAAAGTATAAGTGTGTATTTAATTTTTTTATTTGCTCAGTTATATCAAATGTAGTAGGTATGTTTACAGCTAATGCTTATATGCCCTTTAAGGTTACATTACCAATCAGTCTAGTCATTATGATATTGGTTAATTTGATATTTTTTTCTGCATTCCTATATACAGTTATTGGATTGAAAGGTGTGCTTTTATGCTAACAAGTATTTGTCCACTTGAAAATATTTGTATGTTGAAGGTTTAAATATCAGAATGCTTCCTATTTACACAAATAAGGCACAGATATAGTCTTGTTAGTAGTATATACAGCATACCAAATAAACTATTGAAATGAGACGATTTGTTTTTATTGCACATGTATGATTGCTGTGTACCTTAACAGTTCAGCCTGAGTATTGTTAGGGTCGTATGGTGGAAGAGGCAAGGGTGACACCTGTTCACGGTGATGAGATTTGCGTTAGCACATTGTGGTAATTGGGAGTGTTATTTTGTTGCACATTGTGATAGATGAGAGTCCGGGTACCTGTGCATTTTGTTTGGTGGGACATGGGCGTTTGACTGTTCATTGGTTGTGGATATAGGTTGTGCCCAAAAACACAGTTGAATGCAACAACATAATTATAATCCAAACCTCTGCAGGCCAATCACACTTAGGTCAGCTTTCTATAACAGGAACAGAACCTTGGCGTATGCTGCAAAAATGTCGAGTCGACGAAATTTAGACAAGTTTTCTTCTCCTGCATCCGGTAAGTTCTTTTTACATTATTTTGGGACCAAAATTTTGTTTATTCGTAAACTTGCCGCTTCTCTATCAATAAAAGCCAGTAAAACTTTGATATATCAAAATGGTCTTCCTTATTCTATGCCCGCACAGCGTCCAAGAGTCATCGTTTGAGAGAACAATTAGAACATGCTATGCGATTAAACGAAACTGGTCGCTTGCAAAAAGTGATTCAAGAAATCAAATGGAGCCGCACTCAGCTCACTGGGAGAATCATGGAGGCAGCGGAAGAGAGACTGCGGTTTCTTAAAAGTAAAGATGGTAAGACGAATTAAAATTCCTTTCAAAATTCCCACCTTGGGATTTATAAATGTTTTTATTTTGAATGCTTAGTGTGTTGTGTAAAGCTATTACCGTTTTGTCGGGTATTTATATAAAAACGATGTGCTACAAATTAAATTTTTTAGAAGCTAGAGATTTTGTCATAATGCTTTACCTCTTTATTGCATTGTTCTCATGATTTAAAGACGGACAGAGTTGTTTTCTGCCTTTGCACTGTAGCAATATATTTCAGACTTTTCTTGTGTGAAACGGTTGTCGAAATTTGCTACTTACCTGAAACTACAAGAACGAACCTTGCAGCCTTCTACAGACCAATATTGCATCTCACAAGCAAGTTTCTCTGCTTAATTTTCTCAATTGGGTTCAATTACAGCACTCCTGGACTCAATTCAAAGGAAGGACATGCATGCAATGCTGAGGTCAATAACGGCGGTGGAAACCCAAGGCTATGCTGTCACCCTTCACGACGACCTCCATCATGCTAAGCGATTGGTTGAGGTGTGGGAACGAGTAAAACGCCTGAATCATCATGTCTCCATGCTGGATAGCGCTGCCATCTGTGAGATACGCCGTTACACGACGCCACCTCCCGTATTACATAAAGTCATGATTGCCACGCTCTTAGTACTCGGAGAAGAGGAGGAGAAAATAAGGGTATTGAAATATTTCAATGGACATTACAATCGCTAATATTTGAAACCCCTTTTACAGAATGATTTAATTTAAAACAAAATGTCTGTAAACTCCCCGAGATTATAACCAACTATCCTTGACCCGCCCATGCACTTGAATCGATTTTTTGTTCCATTTTTTTAATTTGATGAAATAGTTGTAAATAACTGGCCAGACATTTAGAACGCTGTGTCTTCCTGTCATAAGGAACTATCGACATCAGGTACTTTTAATGTCTAATTTTAATGTCTGTAGCTTTGCAGGACACGTAGAAAGTATGAATTTGGGACATTTCAAGCCCTTACAGAATGCCTTTAACCAATATTTGAAAAAAAAATCAAGAACATGTTTATACGTTGGGCAGTTTCATTGCCTATTTTGTAAAAGGAGTTCGTAAAAGTATACAAGTGTTATTTATCAGCGTTATGGTAATGCATAACACATTTATTTCAGAATTGGAAAGAATGCCAAAAGCTCTGCAGAGTTGTTGGAAATGATGGGCTTAAACGCCGAGTTACAGAGTTCGAAATTGAGTGTCTTCATCCTTCAGTTGCATCTCGCGCTAGACATCTTCTTCATAACATAGATGTGAGAGAGCTGCAGGAGGTATGCCGAGGTGCCGCAGCATTCTACTCCTGGGTATGTGGACTGTTGTATTTAAAAATCATTTATATAGACAAAAAATGCAAAAATGGAAAATCATAATGCAAGAAAAAATTAATCACTTTTAATCATAATTCTTTTCCGCTGGCAACTTTCATTACACTTGGCTGTTGAGATTAGTAGTTCGGTTAAGCGTACACTTAGTATGCACTTTTTAAACATATTTTAAGGTGTATTATTTGTCTTTTCACGATTTGTTACCTTGTCTGTAAAATTTTCAGACACTTGGCATTGTTGAAGAAGTGGCATACGCTTACTATGGCACCGCACCATACATCCACGGCCGGGTTCCCAGAAGAGATATATCCAGGAGCGACAAGTTGTTCGTCCCCTCTCATTACGTAACCGGGAAACAGCCACCAGTGACATCCCGATGGCACCTAACCACGCCTCCTTTGATGACCCCCTCCTATGGCCCGCCAACCTGGAGAACGCCATTATTTAGCACTGACAAAGTGCTTTATCCAACACCGAGTCATCTTCGCCGCGAGATGTTTGACTCTGATATTTATGGCCATTCTGGTCGCAAGAATTCACAGAATTATGTTGCAAGAACCGCTTCTACTTTTGCTGAAACGTCCACTTATCGAAAACCGACATCAAGCATGAACAACGCAAAGTCTGCAAGTACCAATTTCAATTCTCTCCGGTCAACGCAACCCCAGGCGTCGCCCACACCAACGCATAATTTTCTTAGAAGAAAGAGCGTTCCGGTGTTCAACAGTGCCGGAAACTCTCAGCCACCAACGTTGATATCGACTGGAAGCAACAAAAGTGCATCAGGGGTGCCGAGTGCAACCGCTAGGAGCCCGACGGCTTCGAGAGCAACGACGGCATGGAGAAGGAAGAGTATTTCTGGTCCAGTCGTTGTAGAAAGTCCGACTCCTACGGTCAAACCACGTAGGAAGAGTATATCTGGTCCCGGAAAACTTTCTGTGACCAGTAAGACTTCCGCCATCAATTGCTGACAGTTCTGTTATCTCCATGAATATGACGCAGCACATATTGTTTTTATTAGATATTATATTATTTCCAAGGCATTAACTAACAGTCGTAGCGTTACTTGGGCAGGAGAAGCATTTGTTAGTCCCCAAGATTTAGATATTACTAATAAGGGAGAATGACCCAAACTCCCGTTGTAAGGGATATTAGCATGCCTCGTAACCTCATATCTCTGGCGACGAGCGTGTTGACGGTCGTGGATTTTCATTTTTACGTTTGTCTTATGTGATTCATATTTTTAAATAACACATCATAGTCTGATATCCTCATTCCTTTGGAGCAAGTAATGTATTACTTGGCAACTTGCCAAAAATTATATCAAGGCAGCAATATTGACAAACGTTGTACATTTTAGTGTTTACTTCAGAACATCATTGCAACTTATATACAAAAAAGAAACTGTTCAGTCTATGATGTATGTTTCAGATGTACCACTGACAAACCTAACGTTTGGGCTAGAGCGTGCGTGCTACATGATATACCGACAATTTTACTATTTAGACTAAAGCATGTTTTATGTTGAATGCAGAATTTTTTCCTGCTCTGTCTAGAGCATCCGTGTGCAAGTCGATCAACCATATTTGTTTTAAGATCATGTAAAATAATGTTTATGTAAACAACCCTCTGTCTTTTGAAGGCATTTTTAACATGTTTTATAGTATATAATACCAAACCTACCATTGTCGCAGACCTGTGTTCTATTTTTTTTCAATAAGTGCGAGTTTACAGAGAGGAAAAAGTTAACCAGTTTTTCGCCAATCTCCTCTCTTAACAACCTGAATCCGTCGGTAGTGTTTTTTTTCTCAAAACTGCTGGTTTGAAATCATTTACATGTTACAAGTGTGCTGCGTATAATATTTAATTTAATTTTTTTAATTCTCAGGATGTGAAGTCACTAATATTTTACTTCCATTTTATAAACGTTCCATCTAGTAAATAGTGAAAAATATTATTAACAACGTCTTACAATTATTCATCCTGCATTGAATTGTACATGTTGTTTTCTGAAATTATATTTTAATATATATATACGTCAATAGTCAATAGTAGGTAAACCATGGCCTCCGTCCTGTTGAACTATCGATTTCTGTATGAAAGTGGAAAAGAACGTGGATTTTTACTCGTTTTTGTCCTGCAGTTCTGTATCGGACACATTACACTGACACAAACGTTTAGAGTAGGTAGATTTCAGTCGTCTACAGGGAAGATACACCAGAGAAAGAATCAACCATTTTTTCTACATCTTTTTCTTTTCGCCGAACAGCGCATCAGTCGCCTTTTCTTTGTAGGCCTACGCAACCGACCCCGCCAGAAATCTTTCTGAGACCGTTTTTTCCAAGATTCTGTTCTTATTCCAAACGCAATTTGAAGATTTCTTACTGATGAACATGCTGATCCAGTTTAAAAAATATATCTGAAAGTTTATCACAAAGACATTTGGCAGTTAATTTGTCTTAAAGTAAAAAACAAGACCTTTAAACATTTTGTTAAAGCAGTATTTGAGTAAGATTTATACTTTCATGAAAAAATACAAACACGAAATTTCCAAATGACTGACGAAAGTAAAACATCATTTCTTTTTTGATAGGGGTAGGGGAGATCGGGGCTAGTTGGACCCCTGGGTCAGTTGGCCCCCAGTTAATTTTACAAAAAAGCACCCACGAGGGAAAAAATTGATCACATAATCTTATGAAGTGACCATATCCCACAGTGCAAAGAAAGCGTGGGTCGTAAAAAACTTTTCTTGAGCAGTGAGTCCAAATGAATGTTTTCTGCGCCCGAAAGTTACTTTTAGTTGAAGAGATTTAAATTTTTTCTAAGGACGTGATAGTACTAGTACTTGAAATGGATGCGTACAGGGCATCAAACTATAGTTATGTCTAAACGTAGGTCATCCTTGCAATCTTTTCAGATAAAACGTGCACCTGGGGCTTAGCTCGGGACAAGTTAGTCCCTGTACCTGGTTATGATTTTTCAACAGAAATGCATAATACTGGAAGAAAGGTATGGAAACATCAATATGTCTGCCTCCACATTGAGTAAAAAATTAAACAAAGACTCTTAAAATCAATTAAATATGACAAAATGCGCAAAAAATATATTTATGGCGTTTACATGGATTCCTACATTATTAAAGTGCCAACTTGCCCCGACCCCCAACTTGCCCCTACCCGACCCAGTTGGCCCACCTGAAATGAGTTGTTTTTTTTTTTTTTTTTTTTTTTTTCAAATTTTGAGCCATGTGGCATTTTATTTGCAAAACAGTGATGTTGCATCTGTAGTGAAGTCCTTGTCCTTGTCCACAAGACCTAACTGGGTCAAGTAGCCCGGCCGGTCTCCCCTATATCAGGCATCCCACAAGATTCGCTGCAATCGTCACAGTTAGCACAATGCGTGGTCTGCAATGAGCAATGCGTGGCACACCTGCTGCAATAGATGCTCCTTGGCTATTCGCTGTTTACTGCGGACTAGTTCTTGAGGGTATTTCCGTGTTGTTCCTTTCTCATCCTCTTTTTGGTTCTTAATTCAGTAATCATTCGAGTAGTTAGAGTCATGTAAGGAGCTGTTTTTGTGCTTTTGCAGATGGATTTATGAAAGGCTCCAGGAGTAGAATATTGATTTTAAACAACTTGAATCTTAGAATTTACTTGACGGTCGTGTGGGAAGAGTGAGTCATTGAATTCTGACAATACTTACCCTTTACGAGTACAAATAGATCTACAATTGTTAGTAGACATTTAATAGGCGTGAAGAATCTACAAAGGAAAGATAATGGCGCTTATGGAATTTTTTGGTTGTACATTTATTGCGTTCGGGCCTCCTCTGGCATTGTTCTTATTCACCATTGCCAGGGATCCACTCCGTGTTATCATCATGATGGCAAGGTATCAGTTTTTTTTGTCTTTGAATCTTTTGTCATAGTTCAGTCTCTCTTATTTAAAACGTACTTCACATTGCATAGGTATAGTATTCAAAATGAGGACTCATTAAATGAAGTGTATCAAGTAAAATTGGTTTTCAAGTACAGTAATGTTGTTCTCATACAAGGTATGACCAATACGTTTTCAACTGTCTTTGTAGATTTAAACAATTTTATATTTTTCTCTTAGCTCCTTTTTCTGGCTGTTGTCCTTGCTTGTGTCCTCCTTGCTGTGGTTTGCTGTTGTCCCATTGAGACAGCAGCTGGCCTTTGGAGTGGTATTCTCAGTATTATTCCAAGAATTGTTCAGATTCTTATTCTATAAATTACTCTGGTAAGTTGTATCTGTTGCTTTATTTTTGGAGATTGATTTGATTAAGATTATCTTTTCGGTTTTCATTTGCATAAGTGCGTTGTTATATAATTAAAGAGTATTCTGATGTTCTGACAGAAAAAAAGGAGGAAGATGTTACAAATGTGATTTTTTATACAGCTTTTAATGCCTTTTGGTACTAAATGCACTGCATTTGTAAGGCTATATTCTGTGGTTTACACTTATTTGGATTTACAGTGAAAATTTATTTCATTGCAATGGTGGCACAAATGTTTAAGATAAATTTTTCTCATACCACGTGATTGTTGAAACAGACAGATGTTATTGATTTTGATGAACATTTTTTTTACTTAATTATTGTTAACAGCAAAGCAGATGAAGGTTTGAAGAAAGTCGGAGAACAAGAAGAAGAATCATTAAGTTTGGTCAGGAATAAACATGTGCTGGCTTATGGTAAATATTAATTTTAATCAATTTTCTTTTATATTTTTGTATAAGAAATGAAAGTTTATCTTTCAGTCATCAATTACATTACCAGCATCTTAAGCTAGTATTTTACATACTAAAAGTTGTATTAATTTTTTCTTACAGTGTCAGGACTTGGGTTTGGAGTGATAAGTGGTGCTTTCTCTTTGGTAAATGTTCTGGCAGACATGTCTGGGCCAGGAACTATAGGGCTAAATGGGGAGTCTGAGTACTTCTTCATTACTTCAGGCAAGTATAGTGGCTAACACGTGTCACCAAGACTGGGGTCCTATACCTAGATTGATCTAACAGGATTGATCCATCTCCAAGGGGTTTCTCGCTAAATTGCTTTCAGCTTAAGCGGCTTAGATGCCTGGCACCCCTACTGTAGCTGCTAAACGATAACTAATTACCCCCTAGCAGCTTCAGTAGGCTTGACAGACATCTAAGCCGCTTAAGTTGGTTGCAGTTAAGTGAGAGTCCACAGTTACTATGATAGGGTCTGGAAATGGTCATTTACATTCGAGAGTGGATGTATTGAATACAGAAATAATCTTTAGTTAGTTAACCTATTTAGAAACTTAAGTGTGTTTGCAAAATGAATGAGATGGAACAGTGACAAGATTTTGCCGGTAATATGAAATTATATAGACCCTTTATATGTAGTGCTATATGTACAACTTATCAGTATAGACAGAACTAGGTGCCAGTTATCATTATCACTGCTAACAGGTTTTATGTTTGATTCCATAGCATTCCTGACCCTGGCCTTCATATTTCTGCACACATTCTGGGGAGTTGTGTTCTATGCTGCCTGTGACAAGAAGAGCTATGTGGGGATTGCGGTGGTGATCCTGTCTCACATGCTGGTCTCATGTCTGGTAAGAATTGTGGTAGTTGTACTATACAGCACAATAGACAACTAAATGCATGTTCATTAGGTTCATCTCCATGACTTGGTATTTTATAAGTTTTGTTTATTTAACATGCACTGATCATCTCTCTCTCTCTCTCTCTCTCTCTCTCTCTCTCTCTCTCTCTCTCTATATATATATATATATATATATATATGCAAAGATGATTATGCAAAACAATGTCTGGTATAGTGAGCATATTAAGGATTTTGTTATTATGAGTGTGCATGTAAGAATTCTTAAATACGTGGGCACACATTGAATTTTTTTTAGTCTTGTGTAAAAATTTCAAATATGAAAGCATACCATAACACACACTGTGACACGCATTATATGCAGCAGCATAAGAACACATTTGATGCACTTTTTTTGTGCAGAGAAAATAAAAATGACTTTATACTTACTTTGTTTCAGACCTTGTTAAACCAGATGGACAATCCCCCCTATGCTGGGACTGTAATTCCAGCGTATATAGTATTGCTTGCTATGGGAATGTGGGCTTATTACACTGCTGGGGGCTCCTTGAAGAATATCAAAGCTTTCTTTGGTTCTTTGTGGAGAAAGCCTGAAGGATACAACCTATAAACATACTGGATAGTTTCTGTCAAAGGGAAATGCTGCCATTAAATTTTTCAGTTGATGTTCAATATTTTCCACATGAAAGTGAGTGTAGACTGGCAATGGGGTTTGTGTAACGTTACCTTGGAATGGATGCGTGAATAGAATGTACATATTGATAGTGTATTATATAACCAGGGATTTCTTCACTGTGTCTATAACTAGTTTAACCAAATTGCAGAAAATGAAAGGAAAACATGCTCTTATGAATTCAGAAGGTAGTTTCTTATTGTAACCTGTGTTATTATTTGACCTTAGCGTGTTTTGCAAACTGTCCCTTTTAAAGCTAGAAATCAAAACAAATGTCTGTACAAATATGTTGTTGGATCTTGAGCACAACAAGAATATTTTGTTGTAGCAACATCCAAGACATTAAAGCATCTGGTATGCAACCCATTCTGTAGTAAAAGAACATGTGTTTGTAATAAACCATGTCAGCAAATTATGACATTTACTACCATGGTTATTAGATACCCACTTTCATTGTTTGTTTCAAGGTAAAACTTGTCGTCTTTTTCTTTTTTTTTTTTTTTTGTGACATTTTGACATGTAGTTAATACAATAAGTACCCTGTGTTTCTGGTTTTAAACACCAGGTACTCCAGTACTGCTGGACACTAAACCAAAATATTTAAATACTTAATTCATCTTATCATACTGTAAGGTATATTTAAAATATATACATCATCTTCACGTTGCAAATAATATTGCAACTCGCTAAAACAGTTTTTGATAATTTATTATTTAAAAAAGCATATAGCACATTAGCTTGCGCATTAAATTTTACTGTTAATATTTGGAAAACCAAAATACACAGTTAAGCATCTATGAAGATGACACAATAAATGTAAAATGCAAATAAATATTTTTTCCAGAAAAGCTGGGTTTGATTATTATTTAACAAAATAAGGGCACATATCTTGCATTCTTTCCATCAGAGTTTCTTCTCTTACTCCTTGACTTTATTTCTGTATTTTAAATTCAGTTCTTTTGTTTGACAATATCTCCGTTTACATGTACTATACATCGTCCATATTTCATTGTAGATATGTGATTGTGTTGCTGAGATTGAACCTTTTTGGTAATGACTTTTTCTTGAAAAGTACTCTCTCATTGACTTTTGCTTGAGTATTTACATATGAATATTATTTTACAAAATGAAGAAGTTGCACCATTTCTCATCTGGTAAAGGGGAATTCGGTGTGCACAAAAAAAGCGATATATTTTTGATCTGAAGTTGTTATTGGTTATGATTATGCGCATGCCTAATTAATCAAAACTTAAACTAAATATATTTGAACATGAAGTGTGTTGGGTACAATTCCCAATATGTAACCAAAAATATAAACACTTGTCTTTAAAACTATACTTGCGGCTTCGGGATCGTGAATTCCCTATCAAAGTTATTTTAATTCTCAATTACATTGCTAATTTTAGAAAGCGATTGAACGCTACAGTTCTTCTGGTTTACATTTAGACAAGATTTTTAATAACGCGGACATGGCAATGTGGGTGCACGTTTCTTAATGACGTAGGTTACGCCTATAAATAGTGGAGAACTCGCACAATTCGCCAGTTTTGTGACTTTTTTGCTCAGCACTGATATCTGATATCGTTACATATCAACAGGATAAATAGTAGACATATTTCAGGTCATCTATTTTTTGAAACAATAGTATTGACTTGTAGCAGATTGCATGCAGGACTACCGCACATCTTCATAAAAGAGATTCGCGGAACAACTCCTTAGGACTACCTAAAGTGATCAGAGAAGGTGTACATACGTCTAAAGGTAAGAAAATGTGTACGATAGACAGTAAAACAGATAATATGTTTTGGTATTTTATATATAATATTTAGTATTATAAAAAATTATTTTATTTGAAAAAGCTGTGTATCGGGTGCTTACTGGCAACGCGCCTTTTAACTAAGTATCCTTGGTTTTTACCCCATTGCTGAACTGATTGCACCAAAAAAACCTGACCATAAGACCTAACCAAAAAGACATCTAGAATGAAGGGGAAGAGAGCATTAGGATATCTTTTATATCTTGAGTTTGGTTTTGTCTGAGTCCTTATTTTCTTTAAGGTCCGTAAATGAGTGTGGTGTAGAAGTGGTTTTTCTCATGTATCCGCCTCTGACATTAAATTAAATTAAATCAAATTAAATCATTTCAAACTCAATTATGTAATATATAATCATTTTGAATTAGTCTGCACAGTAGGCCTATCAAGGAAAGCTTATTTATACTCTGTTTGAATATGCAGATTCCGTCACGCAGCGCCCGGCAAGACGATTATTGACATTTCTTGATCAACATTACAACACGCACAGTCGTTCATGTATGTAGTTAGTTTTTGTCTAACCAAAGGCATTCAGCAATTCTCTGACCGTGTTTATTTTCTTTTTACGGAGCCTCGCCCAGAAAGCACGAACAAAAGAGATACTAGAGATGGCTGCGCTTTTGCACCTGACCTACGCACAAGGCTAGAAAAACAATACGCCACTGCTTCTTCGTTTTCATATTGGTATCAAGTCGATAGCAAAAACATGATGCGTCATTCAGTTTAAAAAAGTGACTGAATCAGGAACGACATCAGTTGTACACCTACAGGTATCTATACTAGTAGGTAACTGAGGTAACACTAAGGGTGCTTTCCCAGAGATTTAGATCGATCTAAAGATTAAGATTTAGATCGACCTAACTCCCTGGGGGTTCACGCTAAATTGCAGTCAGCCGAGCGGGCACCATAGTTAATTACCCCCTTACAGCTTTTAGTAGGCGGGACAGACGCTTAAGCCGGCCAAGCTGACAGTAATCTAGTGAGACTCCCCACAGGGATAGATCGGTCTAAAAACCTATGGAAATGGGGTGTAAGCTACCACCTGCTCAAACCGATAGATACATATCTGTTCGTATTGATAAATATAATTGCTCAGTGACATTTAAGCCATTTTTTTTAATATTTAGAAAGTAAGAGGTAACGGAATGCTATTCGACAATCACTTGTCCATGTTAATCTCTATTCTATGAGAAATTAAGGACAGGGCCTGAACAGACGTCTGTTACTCGTTTGGAACGACCGGATAGTCGGGTCACTGGGGTAAGGTTGTTTGAAAGTAGGTCAGTGTGTTAGTTCCCATCCCCATACCTAGAGCGATCTACCAGGATCGACCCATCTTCGGGTTTCTCGCTTAATTGATTTCTCACTAAATTGCTTTCAGCTTAAGCGGCTTAGATGTCTGACACGCCTACTGAAGCTGCTAAACGATAGTTAATTACCCTCTAACAGCTTCAGTAGGGGTGCCAGATCAGAGCCGCTTATGCTGAAAGCAATTTAGTGAGAAACCCCTCGCACCAGGAAAACACGCTTATTGCGTATTTTAGAGTCAAAATCCTGTAAACGGTTCCGTCATTTTTTTTTAGTTGTATCAAGTTTAGCCAACTTATCGCCTGTTTAACTAAGTTAGTGTGTATGGTTATTTTACGTGGCGGCCTGTCAACAATAAAGTTATAAGACGGCAGTGATGATCGCAGATATCAAAAAGGAGGTAGATAATTTTTGTCAGTTCTCCACCCCCCTACCTGCTGTGGGGAGACATTTGGAGATTTCATACACTTAGGAGTACTCTGCGCTACTTCTGTAAGCCTTAGATAAATTTTTTTCCTCTTTTGGTAAGGCAAGGGACCGGTATCCCCTGTATGCTATTGTTAAAGTTAATATGCAGTCGTAGGGTCACTGTATGGTTAGCAATGTGTTCTATACACATTGTAGTTTTATATTGCAATATTGTGAACAAAATCCTCGAAAAATTCTTTAAAAATTCTAGCCCGGTATTGCAAAGTATAACATCGTTTTTATTAAACTCCGTTCACTTACACTCCCAGATTTCCGAGGCACTCTCAGTCATAATCTTTCTATTAGGCTCTCGTTCACCATCAGTCCCGCCTATACGACTTCCAACTCTGGGGCGGAGGGGGGGGGCTATCACGTAGTAACTCACCGCAACTGAAACATCATGCTTTGTTAATCAATGGCTTGTGACAGCATGTTCTGCAGAATATGGCAGACAATCCATCAAATATTTGAACAAGTGAATAATAAATGTCCGAGTGTGATAAGCGACGTATTGACATCATATTAGGATATATTTCTTGTTACGAAATCATCGGGGAATATGCTGATGTCGCGTGTCAGTTTTAATCTTTGTAGTTTGACTCTAAATGCTCAAAAGATTTTCCGATTTCGGTAATGGTGTATGCATTTGATCTTAATGTCATTTGTTGTTAGATGCAAATGTCATGAAAAGTTAATTAGATTACGCTAACCTTTAACTAGGTATTGAGTTTCTGCAACAATTAAGGGAAAGGTTAGTTGCTTTTAGGACCCTGGACGTTTGCATATATTGCATGCGCATGCAGGCCCCTGCCTTTGGTCTTTGAATGAAAATGGCACGTTTTGGGTAAATATATCGAACATGTAGCAAGTCCTGTGATATATCCTTTTCTTACTACGATTTGCAGTACCTTTCAACTTGGGCGGGCGTCTGTTGATACAAACGAGTGAAGTAGGTATTTTATGACGGGAAACACACGTGAAACTGCCACGTGGTGTAGAACTGTAATTTCTTAATTACACTTTGTGTAACAATTCCAGACCGAGAAACATATGTAACTCTCGTTTTGGTGGGCTGGGCTCTTAAAATTGCTTCTTTGGTTTCAAGTTAACAAAGTATATCTTATCGTTTTAGGTTTGTCGCTTATTATCAGAGTTGATGAAAACTAAAAGCTTTTATTTTTCTTTACAGAAATCACCACAGTCCACGATGCGGCAGGTCATCGTGTTGTTTGCCTTTTGGATATGTGCAGTGTTCAGTGTACGGACGGTGAGTGGTCTATTTAATAATCTTAACCAAAATTGACGTTGAAAGAAATCATTTTCAATGTCCTTTTGAGAACCGATAGAATTTTGATAATAATGCAAAGGTACAATGTAGAAAAATTTTAAACTCCAATGTAAACTTCGACTTTATCAGAAACGCTTAAAAAAGATTCTTTTCTTCTATATATATATTTAACAAGTGAAAACAAATAAAATATTGAAAAACGAAAACAAAGGGATTCAATTGAAAATTTACTTTTCCAAATGTAAAAATCTAACGACCATTTGGTAGATATTTTGTTCAGATGCGACATTTTTTGCAAAGTTGTGGTTGTGTCTTATCTATAAACGTTATTATTCTATAATTGCCATTGTATCTATACGCCTTTCACACGCTGGGACACCGTAGGTGGACCATTGTTTAATAGGGTGTTGACTAGTATTGCGTCTTACTGAATTTGGACCTGCTGATCTATCACTAATGTAGTATTGAGAGAAACAAATATGATTGCTTTTTTCAGTTTTTTCTAATTTGCTGTTCAGATAATTACGCTTTTAAATACGAGAAAAATGTTTCGTTAAACTGTAATCTGTTAATCACAAACGTTCACTGTACAAATATTTCTTAACTTCAAGCAAAACTACACTTATGACATATCAGCGGTGTTTTAAAATTCAAATTCACTTTGACTTATGTTGTCAAGAAAACTATTTCCTTGCATAAGCACACGATTTAGCTTTATCATCCCATTAGTGGAATTAATAGCAAACATGTTGCTACAGTGTTTGGTAAAAATGGGGATTCCTACCATTTTTGCACTAAAGCCATTAATCCAAATGAGGTGAACACGGCTATACATTTTCATCGTACTTTTCAAAAATCTTGTTTCAGATAAAATGACAAATATAATTTTTATATAACCTCTAATTACACCTTTACGTCAAGTGGCATCTTTTGTAAAATATGAAATTATTTAAGGAAGGCTGTGTTTATAATTCAATCGGTATTGAACGCAATGAAGTAATCAGATTTATGTAGTTACCGGTTTACACAACGCACCCTACGGTGAATGATAATAATGCATCTTATTGGCTTTTAGCGGCCGCCTATGGTCAGTTTTGAACTGAATGGAGAACCCTACTACATCTACGTCGAGAAAGACAGAGCACACAAACTGATGGTCATGCCAGAGACTAAAGATTGTGACAGGACCATTATTTTCCACGATTTTCTGGGGGTAAGGTAAAAGATGGGCTGGTGGCCAATGTGCCGGTGGTTTATCTCTGGGATTTGTAAACAGTGTTTGACTGAACGGTCAGAAAAAAAGGGGGGGGGGCAGAAAGAATTTATATTGATGACGATATCTGATCCAATAACGGCCACGTACTAACGTACTAACAAGCAATATGCAAAGTATTTACCTACTAGGACTAAGTAAAACGTGAACTATCTGACCTAAACAAAAGATTTGACTACAAGCAATGTTTTTTTTCTTTCAGAACAAGACTATTTATAAAGACGTCACAGCGGAAACTTGTTTCGTTTCCCCATTATATAGGGACGTCGTAGACAAAGTAGCGGTTATTTTTAAGGCAGTAACTCCGCAATATGTGAGTAATTAAGTGCAATTTTTACATAATAGAATTTGTTAGACATTTGTTCATGGCGGTGAAATCATGCCCGCAGGAAATAAAATGATGGTTCAGTGCTGAGTCAAATTTTAGCTAGGACTCAAAAATGGTTCTATTTCTTAAAAATAAACGTAAGCTACATTAAAAGAGAATAACCGCACCAAAAACTGATTTCATACGCAGATTGAGTTGGGATGCTAGGTGCGCCTCTCACCGGGAGCCATCAGCATTAGACATCAGAGAGTCATGAAATGTGGCACGTAAATTGTTTCTTTTATACTTGGAATCTTGATTTGTGTAATTTACTATCGTAACACACATTGTTCTGTCTATCAAAACAGCATGAAACTGTACAAAATTAGTAAGCATTAGGGTTTTGATGGAAATCTTGTAAAAAAAAATTGGGTTTAGTGTTGTAAATGGAAGTTTCAAATTCCGCCCTGTTTAATAAACTATCCAGACATTTAAGAAAGAGAGGGAGAGAGAGTGGTGATTGTACTCAAAATAAAATATCACACTCCATTTTTCATTAGGCAGTGGAAAATACTCCCGCAATAATTCTACTGAGGGAAAGAAGGATGGATGCCAATGAAATAACTTCTCTGGGAAGGATGGCTTTCCTATGTAGAAACTATGCCACATTTTGGGTTCGACGGAATACTCCAAAGGAAGGGATACGTTTCTCCGAGAAAGGCATTGACACCGATTCCGGGATTGTCATCGGAAGAGTTTTTGCCGAAACCGCAAATGTTCCACTCAGATTTGCCAGTAGCTGGACCTCCTGAAGCTTTTATTCGGAACGCCTAATGATTTTATAACAGAGACTATGAAGACACGCAACACATGAGGAGTTGAATTTCTTTGCCCAAGCTACGTCTTTCTGATCGCCTACGCGTGAAACTTATATTTATGAACAATTTTATGTTTTGCTGCACACTAACTGTGGCAGAAAATGGGATCTAAACTATTTTGTGAGACGATATCTCTGTCTCTTCCGCTGGCAAATGTCTGTGATATAAGAACATTTAAAAAGAAACAAATAATAAATCTTTTCTTTTGAAAAATCAAATGGAGAGCAGACTTCACATAGCCTCTCGCTCAAAAAGCGGTTAAGTTTTGCTTAAGTTCCGCTTTTTTTACAGAGATCACTTCAAATAATGGTGTTAAAGTTTTTTGTATTTATTTCAATTATTTGTAATACATGTAGTCTTACCAAATAATCTTGGTCATTTAAAACTGCGCGGTAATAATACCCAATGGTCCATTGTAGGATGTTTAGATAGCCCCAAGAAAATAGTATTACATGTAAAAGTTAAACATATTCTTGTCGGTCATTGACGGTATTTTGACAAACGTACAGCACACTATTTTTATTTCTTTTATTCGTTGCACGTCTCTGCTGGTTTCACACGTTTCTGACTTGTATAAGGAACACAGAGAGGAACATCACATCAAATTAACAATTAACCAGCAGAGAATAATTTGAAATGGCACCTTCTTTGATCCATGGATTTCAAAATTAGCTTTTGAACTTTATATTGTTGTCTCTGATAGCGACATGCAACGGGAATGTTAGTTTTACTATGACCATTATTTACTGGTTCACGTGCACAATGACAGAAAAACGAAGCAAAAAAGGTCAAAGCATACTGAGAAAACCACGCCTCATATCCGGTCATGTGAATACAGCCTTTGTTTCTGAGCCAAGACAAGTTGGCACTAATTTCCTAAGGTAATTAAATGAGAAGAAACATAAACAGAGTTTTTAGTTATGTCAGCAGTAGCAGTAATAAATGTTATCTGAACAATATAAGATTCATTTATACTACGTTTAATCTTAGAATCCGGTGTCGTAGCATTCGTACGTAATCTAAATTGTAGAATAAAATGTAATTTTTTTAATTGTTTATTTCGCAAGTTTAGGCCACCAGCCTATATTACATTACAGTTACAGGAGTCAAATTTATTCATTCTATATATCCGTAAGCTTGAAGCACTCATACACATACACTGACAAGTTTGTTAAGAGAGTAGCATCTTCAGATTTCATGAGCTTGTTAAAGTTGAATACGTTTGCCTGAATGCTGGTGTAACGTGATCTAGAGAGTCCCCCATGATAGAGGGTCCGCTTCCCATTCATTTGTACAGGTAAGCCTCGCCCTAGATTTTGATCCACTTAGGTCAGGCTGACCCTAACCATTAAAATTAAATGGAGGTGTGACACGGACCCTCAGTTTCGTAACACTGGGAATATATGCATGTATATGGCTCTATAGCCATTATACCATGGACACACAAGCACGAAATGGTACTCGTCCTCTATATGTGCTTCTTTATAAGCATTGCAGCAATAATTACAACATCTAAATTCAGGATCTATGGGGCCATTCAGAATAGAAGATCCGAGTATCAACTGGTCCAAGGCTCAAATATGGCTGACCCTACATAAAGGAAGACCGCTTAATCCTGTAATGGTCTCTCCGCCTCTCACACGCCTCCCCTCCCCTATAACCTTCCCTAAGTCAAATATCTGTTTACTAGGAAATGGCGAATGGTGATTGGTAGAAGAGTGCCAAATTGCTAAATTGCTGATGCAATCTCTGCGGAATAAGTGTGTTGTGATATGCCAAAAGTCTCAACTAAAACAATTACAAGATGTACATTGCCAGTAGAAAGATGAATCTCGCCTCGCTGATTTTGTCAGTGATAAGAGGTTTTGCAAACTACAAGTAAGAAAGCATTTAAATCACATTATGCAATCGTTTTCGAAGAGAGAGGACAATAACGACCACATAGAGCTACACCTAATTATTTAAGATACTGTGTACTTTAATTGTATGATACGTTTGTAAACTAATACAGGCCTACTGCAATGGAAAGGCAGCTATTCTGAACATTAAAAAAACATTTGCCCAGATTTTGAAGGCCAGTAACATAAAAAATGGATGCAGGGTCTTGCAAAAAAGGGGGGGGGAGGGACCAAGGATAATAGCTGTTTGCCTCGTTTCGCTCAAGGACAATTGCAGTTTTACTGTGTGGGACAAATTGTTTGGCCTTCGCCTCGTTTCGCTTTTATTGCTGAATGGGGGCGGGGGTATTGCCGCAGAAAATAAATTGGGGAGTGTACGCTGAGCTGGCCACGCTCATTATCAACAGAAACATGTTCGCTTCAGAAAAAAAAATTCAGCGATATCTTTTAATACTGTTATACTATGTGCACATTTTTGAAGAAACTGCTAAAAGAATCAATAAACCAGTCTCAAACTTTGCCGAGAAACCAATCTGCTTCACTTACGGAAACCATCGACATCAAAAGATTAGAACCTTTTTGTATCGTTGCTGTGCTTCATAATACTTCTTCCTTATGCCTTTTACGATTTTCTTTTAATCCCAGTCTGGCACTCCAAGGTTTGTTTACGCGGTAAACTAAAGTGTGCAAAATTGAAGATACATTAGTTAACGAAGTTGAGCATATTTATGTCAAGAATTTAAGCGAAAATCGATAAAGTTTATTAAGAACTAACGAAAAAAATAGGTCAACTGTTCTGTTTTTTAATGAATGAAAGAAATGAACATAAAGTGAAAAGTGTTAAAATCCTTTACACAGGTGCATCTCGCGACAGTTGCCCTTCTCTTTTTTTCTGATTAAGTTGCAAGTGGTTATTTAAAGAAAATGACCGATAAGTGTCCTTGATAATCAAACGTAACCGCGAATGAACTCACCATTGACACTGAGAGTGTAGTCGATGGACATTTGACCTCTGGTAACAGCTTACAATAACACTTCAAGCATTTGATGCTTAATCATTACAGCAGTCTATTTGCAACTAGAGTGAAAAATGGAATAAAAACGAACGTGTCCATTTTAAAATACTGGCACTTAGCAACGACTGCAGTGTGGCAACCTTTTCCCTTGTTTTGATATGGGCACAAAAATGCATAAGTAGATATCCAGATAGGCTTTTTTATTTCCCATGAAAGTTAAAGGGGTTTTCGCGTAATTCTACTCGGTGCTTTCGAATTTTGTTAAACGGTGTATTTGATTTATTTAAATATTTCATCACTCCCATTTTAAAAAGTTTTGCGTAAAAGTTCAAAAACCAAAACATACATACAGATTTCTTCTGACAGTGCGTTATTTGTGAAAGAAACACATTCTAGTCACAATCGTGCACCTATCAATGCAATGGTTGTGTTTTGCTCGAACATATTCATAAAGGACTGGTTTTATCATCACACATTTATAGCTACATGTATATGCTTAGATGTATTAGATCGCATTCACAACGAGTTGAGCCAGGCTTTACAAATCCTGGGGACTAAATATGGCGGTCGTACATGAATCTTTTAATAGTCTCTCCGCCTCTCACACGCCTCCCCACACGTCGTCCCTGCGGGGGGACAGTCATTAAATCTCGGCTCCATTGGGACGACACATGGGGAGGCGTGTGAGAGGCGGAGAGACTATTAAAAGATTAGGCGGTTTTTCTTTCATGTACGTCCGCCATATTTAGTCCCCAGGATTTGTAAAGCCTGACTCAACTCGTTGTGAATGCGATCTTACACTATTTCTTATTAGAAGAGGCGGAGAGACTATTAAAAGATTCATGTACGACCGCCATATTTAGTCCCCAGGATTTGTAAAGCCTGGCTCAACTCGTTGTGAATGCGATCTAATACATCTAAGCATATACATGTAGATTTTGCCTGGTAACGTGCAGGTGTAAGTCCTCCAATGTCTTGAGCCAAATATCGCCGTTTTTTTATCCAACCCATGATTAAACCATGGGTTGGATTAAACCATGTTGTAGGTTAATGTTTGGGTACAAGTGCTGATGCATTAAAAAAGAAAAATAAATAAAAAAAGAAAAGAATGTATTTGTTTGCTCAAAACGTGGGGATAGTATTTTTTTTCCGCTCTCGGTTTGCTCTTCACATCAGTCTCTAGTTTTCACGTGAAAAGTACTTTTTAAAACGTGTTCAATGATAACTTTTTACCTTGAAACGTAAAAACGACGTGAAAAGAGATGAAAATCTCTGAATGAAAAACGCATTTGGAGTCAAATTGAACAAGTCGTACATCATCGATATCCGAACACACCCCGACTCGTCAACCCCCGCCACCCGGTTTATGGTTGGTTTGACGATAAAACAACAGGAGATTCAGTTAAGAAATATCGTCTAAGTATGTAGGTCACTCAAGTTCGTCGTTCTCATGATTAAAGTTGCGTATGACAGGCACTCATCTCGTCTCAAATATTATACAAATAAAATGTGTCTTCCTGTTGGCGTCATAATTTCTCCTTGAATGTCCGATAATCGATACAATAAGGCTTCTAAGTGCTCACACATAAATAGAATGATAGATGAGAAGCTTTAAACGATTCAAGTGAATCTTATCTTTGCATGCTTTAAACCTATGAGTTTACGGCAGGACGTGTATTTTGGGCAGAGTCAGTTTCTGTTGATTTACTTGGGTCGTATCTACAGAACTAACAGAAGATATCGTTGTCATTTCTCTTTTTTCTTTTTAATTCATGTATTTATCATCATTATCTTTTGTCTAAACAAACAGCGCCATTAGAGGAAATTTTTTTAGTTTATAAAAATATTTCTAAAAATTAAAGGTAGATAAGTGACCGAAAAGGGCACGAGCTGAGCCAAAGACGAAAAAGAAAACGGTTTTAACAGCACATAAGATGACATATTTGACACTTATCTATGTTGAGAGAGTCAAAGCCTTAAAAAATAATAAGTTAAAAATGCCCTTTCTTGAATATTCGGGGGCGGGGTGGGGGGGGGGCATGTGCATTCTCCAAAAATTTCCGCCAGACAACATTTCTTTTATCAAACTCCTCGTGATTTATGCTAGCCATTGAAATTAAAATTCTGCTGATTGTCAAAAGAAGGACAATGAATATCATAGTTTACACAAAGGCAGTGATTACTACGAACCCTGGTAGTGCGCGCCACAAACTATTTGATCTTCATCACACCTTTATCTACATTTCGCAAATCCACTTACTCATACTCAATAACTAACTTAAGCAGCTTATGCACTTTCTAATTGACCGCAAATTCAGGACATAAAAACCTTGGAAATTGTAGAGTTTGGTTTTATATCTTTTTGCTGAATCCACATTTCAGTTTCATCATTTGGTAAAACTAGTTACTCATCTTCTGCTTGAATTTGAGGTGAATTTCTTCAAGTTAATGTGAACCTGAAGTATCAGTGCCATGTGCTATAAGAATGATTGTCTAGGAAAGCTACATTTAGTTCTTTTTTCACAACTTCATGGTAAACCACACCTAAAACTTTATTTGCCAAATAAATAAATAAATAAATAAATAAAAAACGTATCTGAACGCCGGGTCTCAGACAAGAATTTTACTGCAACAGGTGGTAGGCGTGTGTAGAATTCTCCCCTCCCGCCGAGATTTGAGTGCTTTGGCTACGGCTGTGCTCCGTTACGTGGCCTAGGTTGTTGCTTCCGCCTAGGCTAGTTTAGTACAATGTAGAAACGTGTTCAGATAGGGAAGTGTGGAGTGAACATCAAACGATCTAAATGACAATTGTAATCGTCTGTTATACTGTATATACAGTATCTATATGGTATGGGCGTGGCGTCACTCGAACGTTTACCTTGCCGACCGTTGTGCTCAGACTGTTTTCTTACAGCATAATATATAAAACTTTTTTTTTTGCTAAGTCAAGATACGTTTTTCTTGTTTGCGCGGTTTGAAGAAAATTTAGTC